AGTGAGCTGAACAAAGGGAACATTGTAAACAGTAAGAATAATGGCGTATAACAATCACCTGTGAATGACTTAGCTATCCTGAGCAATACAGTGATCCAAGACAATTCCTAAGGACTTATGCTAAAAAAAAATGCTATCTATATCCACAGAAAGAACTGATGGACTGTGAATGCAGAACAAAGCATACTTTCAAAATTTTCCTTATTACTCAGGACTTTTTTTTGTTTCTGTTTTCTTTTGCAACGTAGCTAACACAGAAATATTTCACATGATGACAGAGATATAATGTCCCTCAAATTGCTTGCCTTGTCAAGGAGTGGGGAGTAAAGGGAAGGAATTTGGAGCTCAAAATTTTGAAAAAGAAGTATTAAAAATTGTTTTCACATGGAATTGAGAAAAAAATAAAAATTTTCAAAAGTCCTCTTTCATTAAATGTCACTTCCCCCATCCTGTATAATTATACCCATTTTGCTAAGTAGATTATTCTAAGTTGCAATCCTACTTACTTTGCTTTATAAAATATCATATTCCAAACCGTATATCCCTTGATTATATGATATCTTGTGCGATCCTGAGCTGTGAGGAAGTTGATTCATTGAAGACTCCTATTCTATTCCAATCAGTATCAATCAATTTGATATGATTATAAATTCTGTATATTTGTCCCCAGAGCTAATAATTACATAATAATCACTTGCATAATCATAGTAAGTTAGCTAGAGGCCCTCCACCTTTGTTTTTCCTTGTTATGGTAACCAAGTCCAGTGTGATGGACATGGCTGAAATACATGGAAAGTCCCCCAACTATTTTTGTAGCTCCGGACCATTCTGTCTTTTCCAGCAACAGCAGGTGTCTGTCTTAGGACCACCTAGTCAGCGAAAACATTTCCTACCTTTCCTGTGACCCTGATGTGTTGTTTTGCTTATTTTAGTCTAGGCATCAAATGTTTACCAATGCAATTATTCTGTATTTGGTACAGCTGCTCTCGAATGTTTAAATATCTAACCTTATAAAAATATGGGAGGAGGTATCTCAGATCGTGAGGAAGATCTGAAGTTCACATTCATCACGTGGACCTTTTAATAAACTCACATTGCCTCAGAGCTCTGCCTTAGTCTCTCTTATTATACGTTGCATAATTTTAGTCGCTATACCTGAGAGACCTGGGTTTTGACTAGAAAATGCCTGGAAGTTTTCATTTTCAGGTCTTTTTCAGTAGGTGATTGGTAGTTTCTTTCCATTTCAACTTTTCCCTCTAATTCTACAATATTTGGGCAGTTTTCCTTTATAATTTCTGGGGAAAAAATGATGTTTAGACTCTTTTCTTGATCAGGTAGTTCAATAGTTCCTAAATGATCTCTCCTCACTCTACTTTCCAGGTCATTTTTTTTCCTATGAGATATTGGACATTTTCATCTATATTTTCAGTTATCTGACTTTGTTTTATTATTTTTTGTATTTTTATTTTCTGCTAGGCAATGGGGTTAAGTGACTTGCCCAAGTCACACAGCTAGTAAGTGTTGGTGTCTGAGACAGGATTTGAACTCAGGTCCTCTTGAATCCAGGGCTAGTGCTCTATCCACTATGTCACCTAGCTGCCCCTGTTTTATTGTTTCTTGATGTCTTGTAAAGTAATTAGCTTTGAACTGACCAATTCAAATTTTTAAGAACTTATTTTTTTTGTGCGAGGTTTTGTGTTTCATTTCCTTTTGGACAGTTATGATATTTTAATGAGTTATTGTTCAGTATATTTTTGTGTGCCTCATTTACAAAGTGGTGAATTGTCATTCATAATTTTCTTGCATTACTCTCATTTCTTTTCCTTATTTTTGCTCTAGACTCTGATTATTGAAAGCACTGTCTTACTTTTTCTTTGGCTCTTCTAGGAAATTTTGTTGAAGTTGTGTACAGTCGTATTTTGGGGGCTTGCTTATATTTTAGTTATTACCTTTTTCTGAGTCTCTGTGTTGAGCTCCCATAGTCACCATAGTACCTTTTGATGGTTTGGTTCTTTTTTGATTTGTCCATTTTTCACACTTCTCATTTTTGATACTGGTACTTTGGTTTTCTTTTTTTTTTTAAATCAAATTAACCAAACTTTCATCCATCTTATTGGTTTTTCATAAAACCACCTCAGAGTGTTATTTGTTAGCTCAAAGTTTTCTTAATTTCAATTTTATTAAACTCTCCTTTGATTTTCAGAATTTTTAATTTGGTATTTATTTGGGGATATTTAATTTCTTCTTTTTCTAACTTTGTAAGTTGCATGCCTAATTCATTGATGTCCTTTTTCTCTATTTCATTCATGTAAGCATTTAGAGATGTAAAATTTCCTCTAAGAACCACTTTTGCTGTATCCCTTAAGTTTAGTTATGATGTGTCATTATTGTCATTCTCTTAGATGAAGTTACAGTTTCTGTGATTTGTTGCTTAACCCACTCATTCTAAATCTAATCCTAAGATTATTTAGTTTCCTATTAATTTTTATTCTATATTTCCACGGTCCTTTATTGCATGTAATTTTGATTGTACAATGATCTGAAAAGGATGCATTTAATATTCTGCCTTTCTGCATTGGATTGCGAGGTTTTTATGCCCTAGTACATGGTCAATTGTGTAAGTGCCATATATTACAAAGAAAAAGATATGTTCCTTCCTATTCCCATTCAATTTTCTCTAGAGGTCTACCGTATCTAACTTTTCTAAAATTCCATTCATCTCCTTACCTTCTTTCTTGTATATTTTACAGGTAGATTTATGTAGTTCTGAGAGGGGGAGGTTGAGATCCCCCACTAGTATAGTTTTGCTATGTATTTCTTCTTATAACTCCTTTACCTTCTCGTCTAAGAAACTGAATGTTATAACACTTGGTGCATATTGTTTATGGTACCTTTTAGCAGGAGGTAGTTTCCTTCCTTATCTCTTTTAATGAGATCAATTTTTGCTTTTGCTTTCTGTGAGATCAGGATTGCTACCCCTGCTTTTATTTTTTTCTTTTTACTTCACCTGAAGCATAATAGACTTTGCTGTAGGCCCTTACCTTTACTCTGTGAGTATCCCTTTGTTCTCAAGGACCCAGTCAGCGAGAGACAACAACAGGCACCCAGCTATATACACACAGCCAATAAGTGTCTGAGGCCAGATTTGAACTCAAGAAAAGGATTCTTCCTGACTTCGGGCTGTGCCACCTAGCTGCCTGATTTACCTGAGGAGTATAAGGCTTGGATCAAAATGAGCCAGCATTTGTCATTCTTAGTAAAACCCACAGTTTTGTTTCTCCAATGTACACATGAGGGATAGAATGAAGAATTCTGCACCTTTTTGTAATATTAATATTAATTTCCAACTTGTTTATCTCCCTCCCACATTCCCCCAAATCTCTATGTATTGGGAGTATCCTCAGCTCTCTGCCCTGCCTTTGTTGGGAGAATATAATGTGTGAGCGATGTGGGGCTTGGGATGAAGGAGGCAGTGGGGGTGGGGTGGGGCAACAGAGCTCAGTCCTGACAAGACAGCAGTCACTGCTCTGACCTAAGGTTAAGCAGCTGTGCCCCTGTATTAAGGCAGCCAAATGTCACCAGGAGGTTTTTCTTCAGGGCTGGATCACTGTGACAGGCCAGCTGTAATGATGGTGATAGCAATGCAGTCCAGCATCTTCAGCATCTACAGTGATGACTGGGAGAGTATAGTCTGTCCCAGACCCACTGCCACTGAACCAGGCAGGGACTCCAGAATGCAGGATGGCAGCACCACAGATAAGGAGCTTGGGAGGCTGTCTTGGTGGCTGATAGTAGCAGGCTAAATTATTGCTGGTCAATATTCTCTTGTGAAGATATTCGTAGACACCCTGTTTTCCAGCGCTAAGGGCAAGCAAGTAAGCTTGGGACAACAATGATCCTCTGTCCTCACCATCTGGGTGAGCTCACCCCTGGCAAAATCATATAATTATGACTTTGCTTTGACCAGGTATTCTGTGAGCTCAGAAAAGCACCAGAGAAGTAGCCACGTTCTGGAATCAAATTTGTCCAATTGTTGCTGTTACCTCTCCCAGACCTGAGCCGAAATCCAAGTTCAGGCACTTGCTAGCTGGGGGACCGTGGGCAAGTCACTTCACCCTAGTTGCCACATCTATAAAATGGTGTCTAATAGCACCTGCTTCCCAGGGATTTTGTGAAGACCAAATAAGAGTCATTATAAGGTACTTAGCCGGGCTTGGAACACAGTAAGCACCAAGTAAATGTTAGCTCTGAGTCTTACTGAGCCCATCTAGCAGACCACTGGCATTCCCCAGGCCCAGCCAAACGCTCTCCACGTCTCCTGGTTTCCTTCCGGTCAGTCTCCTTGGCAGAGGAAACAGACACAAAGAGAGCACCGCCTTGTCCTGCCCGCCGCCTCCTTGCCCTCTCCTGCTGCCCCGGGCCCACTCGTGTCCTGCTCCTCCTGGATGCCCCAGGGGGCTGAGCGAGCGCTCCGGCCATCCTGCCCCAGCCCATGGTCTCCCTCCTCAGAGCCCTGTCTTCCCTGAGTGTTTCCGTCACTTTCTGCGACAGGATGCTAGTGCACAGCAAGCCTTCCATTGGAGTCGAGGCCTGTTGTGACGGTGCCAGAGTGGGAGAGAGTGTGGCCTTGACTACCCACGGAGGAGCCCTCGAGGTCTGTGAGCCCATGCCTCGCTACTCCACCTGGGCTCTGGGGCTGTGACGACCACGCAGGAGATAAGGGGAGGGAGTCGGGGGGGGGGCGGGCCTGCTGGCAGTAAGGGCCGGGAGGGGCGGGGCAGGCAGAGAGGCAGTACACATTCCACAACGGGGGAAAGGGCCGAGCTCCAGGCATGCGCAGAAGGCGCCTCACCCTTCAGACTACGATTCCCAGAAGACCATGCTCACCTCCGGGGCATTTTCCCAACGCCAGGGAAGGGAGAACTGGACTTCCTATTTAGTAGGCCACTTCCGCTTGCTTTTCTCTCTGCTTGTTCCACCCTCGCTGGTTCCCGCTTCCCCTTCTCTGTCCTGGGCTGAAGTGTGTTCGGGTGGGGGGGGGTCTAGAGCGTTGCCGGGCCCAGGCGGAGCCGGTGCGGGGGTGCGGCGGGGTCGGAGGACCGGGGGCTGGCTGGGGAGCTCAGGGAGAATGGGAGGAGCGTCCGGCCGAGATGGAAGGAAGGCCCCGAGGCGCTCCCAGGGGTCTGGGGGCGGCCAGTGCTTGGGGGGGTTCGGGGGGTTGGAGGCCGACCAGGCGGAGGCGGAGCTTGGGGACGGGTTCTAATGCCCCTTCAGTCACACCCCTAGCTCCCTGCCCCCTCCGTTATCTCCCATCAGTGGAGGAGTGGAAATGTCTGGTCTGAGCAGGGCAGACCCCGGCGTGACCCCTCACTCTCCTGCTTCTCCTTTCCTCCCCAGCTCTCCCTTCTGTGGCCTCTGTTCTGCGCCAGGAGGACAGCCTGGAGGAAGAGGGAATGGCTCCTGCCCTGACAGCCAGGTCCGGGAAGGTGAGTGCCACTTGCTGCTTTCCTCAAATAGCATCTCAGACCAGAGACTGTGGGATAGGTTTCTTTGTCCTGTGCTGTAACACTAGGAATTGTGGCCATCAGAGAATCATATAACCACAGATACCACTGCATGCTCTGCACACTGAAAAAAAGAAAAAAGACCTTACAATTACTTTGTGTTTTTTTTTCTAATTTTGACTTCTAAATCCTTTCCCACTTTCCAGTCCTTCCCCCACCCTTTGAGAAGGGAAAAATAGGATAGCCATTATGGCTGTAAGGTAATGCAGAACAGTTGTATATTATCCCTGGTTCAAAAACAGAAAGAAAAATGAAAGTGAGAAAGAATGTGCTTCAGTCCTCACTCAAAGTTCATCAGTTCTCTGCGTTTTTTATAATGTGTCCTTTAAACTTTTCCTGGGTCATTGTATTCATCAGAGTGGCTGAGTCTTTCACAGCTGATCATTACTGCTGTTGCTGTGCTCAGTCTTCCTGTTTCTTCTCACTTTTCACATTTATTGGCGTTATTTATAATTCATGGGATAAAACAAGCACTTTCACAACAAAGAATAAAAACGAATTACATATGAAATTGCAAATCTGTTATGTTTAGCTTGTTATTCTTTTTAAATGTATTACAAAGTTACCATGTGAATGTTTTTTCTCCGTCCTCCCCACTATGGCTACCATTAGACACAAGTAGGAGCGTGTGTGTGGTATGTATGCTTGTATGTATATATATGTATGTAAAATTATTCTATACATTAATTTTCAGTTATTTCTTTGGATGCAGATAATATCTTCATATTTCCTTCATATTTAATTTAGGTATTTACAGTTATCAAAATAACTTATTCCTTCAAATTCGTTCTTAAAACAAAATTGCTATTATTATATACAATTTTCCCTTGGTTCTCTGTAAGTCCTTCTAAGATCATTGAGCTCATATTTTTTTATATTACACCAAAAATCCATCACAATCGTACACCACAGTTTTTTCAGCCATTCACCACTTGTTGGGCATCCCTGCAATTTCCAGGTCTTTGCCACCAGAAAGAGAGCTGCTATAAACATTTGAGAACATATGGGTTCTTTTCTTTTTTCCCTGATCATCTTTGGAAATGGATCTAATATTGGTATTGCTGGATCAGTGAGTATGGATAGTTTAATACCTTTTTGGGCAAAATTCCAAGTTGCTGCCCAGAATAGTTGGATCAGTTGACAGTTCCACCAAGAATGACTTAGTGTCCCAATTTTTCCACATCCCCTCCCAATATTTGTTGCTTTCCCTGTCTGTCATTTCAGCCACACTGATAGGTATAAAATGATATCTCGAGGTGTTTGAATTTTCATTTTTCTAATCGATTATGATTTAGAGTATTTTTTCACATGACTATAAATTGTTTTGATTTCCTTATAAAGAAACTACCTGTTCATATTCTTTGGCCAATTATCAATTAAGGAATGATTTGTATTACAGATTTGATAAAGTTCTTGACCTTTGTCTGAGACCATATAGAGAGTATTTTTTGTAATTTTTGCTTTACCTCTGACCTTGGCAACATTTGTTTCATTTTTACAAAACCTTTTTAATATAATTTAATGTAAGCTGGAGCAGGATGGCAGTTTAAAAAAGGCAGGAACTCCCCTGAGCCCCCCCCAAATACCTTTAATAATTATTCTAAACAAATTCTAGATCAGTGGAACCCACAAAAAGTCAGAGTGAAACAATTTTCCAGCCCAAAACAACTTAGAACGTTGTCAGGAAAGGTTTGTTGCACCAAGGTGAGACAGTAGTGCAGTCCTACACAGGTTGTACCAGTGCAATCAGGGCCCAGCAAACTGGAAGCAGGCCTTGGGGTGACTGAATTACTGGCAGCAGTGGTGGTTTCCAGACCTCTCAGCCTAGAGATGCCAAAAACAACTTAGAAGGTCAGCAGGAAGGGTCTGTTGCACCTTGGTGGGAGTGGAGCCCAGGCTGAGTGAGTAGAGCCCCATTCTGACCATAGAAAATTACTGTGGTGTCAAGGAAGATCCAAACACATACTCAGAAGAAAACAAAGTCAAAGCTCTTACATCCGAAGCCTACAAGAAAGGTATTAATTGGTGTGAGGTAATGAAAGAGGTTAAAAAAGCTTGAAAATCAAGTAGAGAGAAATGAAAGTGAAGCAAGAAAGTCATGAAAAATGAGTCAACAGCTTGGTAAATGAGACACAAAAAAACATTGAAGAAAATAATTCCATAAAAAACAGGGTAGGCCCAATGGAAAAGGACATGAAAATTCACAGAAAAAAAATGCTCTCTATATTTCTTCCACAAACACATGGAGAATTGCCATTAAATGAATGGAGAGCAGCAGAAATAAAGGGGTAAAGCAGTTCTAAGAAAACTTCAGATGACCTTAGAAAAGAGAGGACCTCCAAGGGCTGAGTGTTGGGGTAAGTGAAGTGTAGTCACTTCCAGGCTGACTTCATTGAATCAACAGATTAGAGGCCCTGGATCAGCTCTGTGAGGAAGCAAGCTAGGCCTGGAGAAATTTTTCGTCACAAAGTTGCACCTCAAACTTTCGCCTAAGGACCAGCAGAAGGCTGAATGTAGGAAGACTGAAAAACCCTCCAGCCCCCTCCCTCTGTTTCGCAAAGCTAGATCTACCAGAGCTGACCAGAAGTCATCTGGGGTTGTAGCTGTTGGTGAGAAGTGAGCACAAACCTGGTGAGTGCAGTACCACAGGGACGAAGAACATTTTGGGGGCAGAATGGCTAGAGGCCTGAACTGTGGTTTAAGGGAGGAGAGGAGTCCCTGAGGTCGAGCCCTTCCACGGAATTCAGAAAATAACAGTAAGCATGACTTGAGGCCTAGGGCAACATTACCCAGATCTTGGGGATTAAAATTTGATTATAATAAAATGCTGAAAATCATAATAAGCAAGCAGAGGAAAAAGAACCCAATTGTAGATAGATACTTTGGTGATAAACGGTATCTGGGTTCATATTCAGAGGAAAATAGTGAGATTAAAAAAGCCACTCCTGTCCCAGAAAGTAATGTTAAATGGTCACAAGCCGAAAAAGAACTCTTGATTAAACTTAAAATGGAACTCAAAAATTAAATGAGAGAGATTAAGGAAAAATTAGGAGAAACAATAAAAGCAATTGAAAAAATGAAAAGGAAGTTAGCCAATTGGAGAAAGAGTTATAAACTCTTTTCAAAATTATATTTTATTTTTCCACTTAATAGTTTTTTATTGCAAATGACAAGGATAGTTTTCAACATTCACTTTTGATTTTGAGTTACAAATTTTTTTTTCCCTCCCAGCCTTTCCTTCCGTTTCTCCTAGATGACAAGCAGTCAGCTATAGGTTACACATATACACTCATATTAAACATAATTGTTGTAAAGAAGAATCAGAACAGGCAGGAAAAAGCTACAAGAAAACAAAAAAAAACGCAAAAAAAAGTGGAAATAGTATGCTTGCTCTGAATTCAGTCTGCCATAATTTTTGTTTGGATAGATAGCATTTCCCTCATGAGTCTTTTGGAATTGTCTTACGTCATTGTGTTGCTGAGAAGAGCCAAGTCTGTCAAAGTTGATCATTACATAGTTTTGCTGTTACTGTACATAATAATCCCCTGGTTCTGCTCACTGCATTCAGCATCAGTTTATGTAAGTCTTCCTCTGTTATTCTGAAATTTGCCTGCTCATTATTTCTTATGGCACAATTGTATTCTGTTACATTCAAGAACTAGAACTTGTTCAGCCATCCCTATTTAATTGGCATCCTTTCAATTTCCAATTCTTTGCCACGAGAAAAAGAGCTGCTATAAATATTTTTGTACATGTGGGTCCCTTTGCCTTCTTATAATCTCTTTGGGATGCAGACCTAGTTATGGTATTGCTGGATTAAAAAATGTGTAGTTTTAGGCCTTTTGGTCATAGTTCCAAATTGCTCTCCAGAATGGTTGGATCAGTTCACAACTCCATCACTTCTTGTTGGGCTTTGTCTAACCTGCGTGTTTCTTTGAGGCTTGCATATAGACTTTTTGGGTTGTTTTCGCGTAATAATTCAGCATGTGACTTTTAAAACTGTCCTCTTTTTCTTTTTCAACTTCCTTCTGTTCTCTTCTGTGCTTTTTCTTTTTTTCTGACAAGACTCTCTAGCTCTCTTCCTTTTAATCCTACCTCTCCTTGCAACTCCAGTAAAAAAAGAAAAACAGTGCATTTATAGCCAGTAAGTATAGTCATATAAAATAAATAAACAAGTTTGTCCCCACTTTACTGTCAGAATTTAGGTAGCAAGTTTCATTATCAGTTCTCTGGAATTATGGCTGATTATTGAATGGTATTGTCATTTGTAAATTGTTTTCTTAGTTCTGCTGTTTTCTCCCTTCATTGCTTTATGCAAGTCTTCCTATTTTCTTTCAAAGTATCGTTTTCAAGATTTCTTAGGGCACAATAATATTCCACTTCATGAAATGATCAGGTATTTTCTGGTTGATGGGTATCCCTTTGTTCCTACTACTTTGCTCTAACAGAAAGGACTCTCAAGGTCTCTTTTAAGAACTTTGGAATGGGTTATGTGACTTGGGAGATACTGGTACAGAATGCCCATCGTGGCGTGCCCTCATCTGAGAGGGTGCTATACTCTATGAGCAAAGCAAAATGAAAGTAGCTCAGAAGAAATATGAGATGATTAAATTTAGATAATCTACCCCAAATGTTCACATGGAGTATTTTTTTTCATAGTTCATTATCTTTTTTGGATTATTTATATTTTTGAAGTATTTGTGTATTATATTTTGTTGGGTCTGTTTATTTTGCCCTGTCAGTTAATGCATGTCTTCAAATGCTTCTCAGAATTGCTTATATTTCTCTTTTGTCTGTATAAATGACTGTTGTTCATATGCCATATTTTTCTAGCTGTTCTTTAGTGTTGAGAATTCAGTTTGTTTCCAGTTCTTTGCTGTCCCAAAGAGTGATCTTATGAATGTTTATGTCCAAAAACTCAGTGGTGGCCTTGGTCTGGTTATACTGAAAGGGAATGGCAACATTGTACATTCAGAATAGCCCTGGATTTGAAGCCAGGAGGACGTGCGCTCAAAGTGTAGATCCAGCACTTGCTCCCCTTGTGACCTTAAGGAAGTCAACTTTCCCTCTGAGGGTCTCACTTCCCTAATTTGTAAAATGAGAAAATTAGATTCTTAAGTTTCTTCCCTGTCTAAATACATGAATTAGAAAGTAATGGTCCTTTAACGCCCTTTTCAGTAGTGAAAAAGTGTTTACATGCTGTTACAGGCAGGAGATTGTAGTCCCCTATGCCTTTGGCCTTGTGGTTCCAGGAGCATGGAACACAGTGGTGTTCATTTCAGAGCAGCACATTTTAAGAAGCACAGCGATTGGATGAAAAGAGGAAGGTAGCTATCTTACTTGTGAAGAGACCAGGTTGATTCGTCAAAGAAACTGGGTTGTTTAGATTGGACAGGATAGCTATCTTCAGCTATTTCATTTTCATTGTTTATTTCAGCGAGTAGAAAAGAAATTAGCCATATTTGTCCTTCAGCTCAGAGGGTAGAAGTAGGAGCTACAGGTGTTCACTGTAAAAAAAAAAAAAGGAAGGATTAGTTTAAAATTGATGTTGGAACCATTTACAACAATAAGCATTTATTAAATACCTACCTAGTGCCAGGCACTGTGCTAAGTGCTGAGGATACCAAGGATGGCGATAATAGCTCCTTCCCTTAAGGAATTTACAGAGTAGGAGAATTCTTTCTTTTTTAATGTTTGTTTAATTTTTAATATATGGAATAAAACAAGCATTTCCAATACGTATATAATAAAAAAAGATGATTGTATATCTGTTCTCTACAACTTGTTATTCCTTTTAAATATATAACGAAATTCCGTATAAATTTTTCTCCCCCCCCAACTCTAGAGATGGCTACCATTAGATACAAATGTCTGTATGTGTGCATGTGCGTGCGTGTGTGTGTGTGTGTGTGTGTGTGTGTATGTGTATAAAATCATTCTATACACACTTCTATTCTTTTTCGGAGAGGAATTCTTAAGTGCCTGCTATATACTAGACACTGTACTGGGATGCAAATAAATAAATGAAAAAATTCCTCATGGCAAGAGAAAGATGAAATGGCTGAAGAAACAAAGGTTCAGTCTTTTGGGCATATCAGTATATTAAGCAATGTATTGCAATTGCATAGAAAAGTGGGACCAGGCCCCTTCCTCAACTTAGGGCTGGATCCTAAATAGGGGAGGGTATACTTTTATGAATTAAAAGCAATCAAAGAAGAGCAGTTAATTAAAAGCAAATAATAAAGTGTTAGGTAATCTGATTTCTAATTGCAGAAACTACTGGGGACTTTTCATGTTGGGAGGGGGAAAGGCAACAGGTTCAGTTCCCTCAATTCAGAATGAGGTGTCCCACTCCCCCAAGTAGTATACAATGAAAGGAACATGGCAGCAATAATTAATTGTTCAGTAGGGGCAGTTTTCAGATAAGACATATGAGTTGCTTCACATGTAAAATTATGAGAAAACTCCTTATATCAGTCTTTTTGCATTTCACTGGGTTTCTGATCAGCATGACCTAGGTCCTTAAGGACTAAACAGCAGCTAGAGTAGGTCTCATTTCTGAGCCACGCAAGGCTAAGTTCAAACAATGCAATTAGGTTATCTGCCAATTCCCACAACTGAATAAATTTTTCACAAAATATAGAAGTTGGACTAGACCTGTGATTGAACAGAAAAAGAACTGAGCTACCTGCAGAATTGAGTCACAAAATGGAGTCAGTGTGGTTGACTCAGTTGCCTCAATTCCCTGTACCACTTGCTGTCCTAAAACCCTCAATTCCCTCACCTTAATAGCAAGTAGTTTATATTTGAACTTCATAACAGTTAAGTGCTATAGCTGGGTAAGCACAAATGTTTTTGGTATTTCAGGAATCAGTGACATTCAAAGATGTGGCTGTGGAATTCACCCAGGAAGAGTGGGTACAATTGAACCCATCTCAGAAAAAATTGTACAGGGATGTGATGCTGGAGAACTATAGGAACTTGGTGTCTTTGGGTAAGAACAGCTACCCCTTTGGAGTCTTGATATATACTATGAGAGCAAGATTTTAACAGTTGTTCTTTGGCATGCAAAAGGAAACTCTTCCTAATCCATTTGTAGCCAAGAGACAGATTACTTGTGCTACCTGTTTTCAGGAAAAAGGTCCAAGCTTAGTATGCCTGGAAATTGATTTCTTGATTTTTTGTTATCCTTGAGAATGTATCTTCCCCTCTCTGTTACCTCAAATCCAAGATATTCTTTTTAATCCCAGTGTAGGGTTCATCATGCAGTATTCCCACTGCCTAAGCAGTCAGTAAGTCAAATGAACTGTTTTTTTCTCGAGTCCTACTCAGTAATCCATTTTACCATAATACAGAGTATCCTTCCAGTGGTCTTTTGTACTATCCTTGAGGTCTTCCTAGCATGCGTACTTTTTTTCCAAAGAGAGTCTGAACTTGTTTTGAATTCTTCTATTAAGTTTTGTGGATACTTTTTGAAAAAAAATTTAATTTCTCCTTCCTTTGCAACCTGAAAAAAAAAACAATAAAAAGAAACAAAAAACCCTACTTCTTCCTCCAACCAACCCACTGAGCTCCCCATGATTGAAGAAGAAGAAAAAAAGTCAGACAAAATCAACTAACATAGTGCTTTTGGGTGTATAAGCTATGTCTAGCAGCCTTATTCCCCCACCTTTCTAGTAAAGTTGGAGGGAGTATTTCATCTATCTCTTTAATGATGGAAGTCGATATGAGATGACTGCCTAGCACTTTTTCATTTTCAATGAACAGGATTTGCAGCTTCCAGACCAAATGACAGTGACCAGTTGGAAAGAAAGGAAGTGTCTTCCCTGCCAGAGGCAGATATTCCAAGAAGCAGCTGTCCAGGTGACTACATAAAACCAAGCAGATGAGTCATTGCAAACTTGTAATCTGTTGTTCATTTTAGGTCAAAGCTCTTGAAAAACATTGAACAGAGTGGTCTGTCAAAGCTTCTCTGCCCTGTTGAGAGGAGTTGAGAGTTTTAACTTCATTTTTTTTACCTCAAGAAGTTAGTTTTTCAATGTATCTCCTTACTGTAATGTACCTCCACTCCCAAAGAAAGTTGTTGCCTCAGTACAGGGCAGTTATATCTCTTCTGTTCATTGAAGATCACCTTAGTTCATCTGCCTCATTTGCATGAATTCATTCTTGTAAAGTAAGCACAGTATTGAAAGTCTTAAGTCGTGTGCTCTTTTTCCTTGTGAGTTCTTTTCTGATATTTTCTTGTTTGTGTCTATGATTATATTGCTTTGCTGCTACTTTTAAAAATAATCCTAACCTAATTCCCCTTTCTTCAGCCTGTCATGTTATGTGTCATCCTGTTTTTTTCTTTATGCTTTGAAATTGTGTTTATAAAGGCACTTTAATATGTTCATGTCACAGGAATTATGTAGCCATAACACCATCATTGGACCTACAGATTTTTATTATTTTGCTATTTTTCTTAAGGATTTTTTTTTTTTTAGGCAGTGGGGTTAAGGGATGTTCCCAGGATCACACAGCTATTACATAGCAATTGTTGTTCTGAGGTCAGATTGGAACTCTGGTCCTGGTGACTTCTGGGCCAGTGTTCTCTCCATTGTGTCACCTAGCTGCCCTCTTTTATTTTGCTCTTTTACAGAAAGCTGTTGTGAAAATTTGCTGAGAGTGCTGTGTTTGCTTTCAGTAACATATTGAGGCTGCAGACCTACTACTGGGGCCATTGGGTGAAAGGCTATGAACAGTTTTGTAGCTCTAGCCGAAATTCCTATCTTTTAAGGAAAATGGTAGCAGCAGCAGCTTAATAAGTAGGTATTTTAACATAATTCCCAAACTTTATCATTTTCGAGTATCTTGCTAATCTGAAGGCTGTTTATTGCTACCTCAAAAATTGTTTTCATTTATGCTTCTTTGATTATCAGAGTTTGAGTAATGTTTCAGGTAATTATTAGTAATTTCTCTTGTCAAAAACACCATAGGTCTACATCTCACAAATTTCAATCAATTTTTTACAAAGTAGATATGTTAGATTTTTAGAGGAAATTTATAGCAACAGTTGTCATGTTTTCACCCTCATATTTCTTCTTTATTCTGTTGACTTCTTATATCTCTTTCTCTTCCCCACTCTAAACTTAGTTCTGTATTTTCTTTCTGTTCAGTCTTTTCCCTTCGTATTTTCACCTCAGAGGGTAAGGAAACATCAAAATCATCTGTTGGGTTTATTTTCTGAACATTCTTTTCCATTCAAATGTCAGCCAATGAAAGTAGAGTAAGGGTTCATTCATCCCCCTTGGTAATTTCATCTTATGTCAATTCATTTACATGTTACGTTGAGTCATCATGCTTTCACATAAGATAAACCAATCTCTAGGGAAGGCTAGTGAGACTGGCCTTCTCAAGTGGGAAGGCAAGAGAATAGCTCCAAAACCTTTGAGCAACTAAGAGCCTTGGGAAAGGGTGAAAAAGAACAGGGTTAATCAGCTCTGTATTCTTCCTTTCAGAGAGCAGAGAATTTACTGGAAATAAACCTCTTCAATGTAATGGATATGGGAATGCCTTCTGGAGCAAGGAGCATCTTGCTGTGTGTCAGACAATTCATACTGGAGAAAAACCTTACGAATGTAGTAAATGTGGGAAAGGCTTCAGGAGTAAGTCTGAGCTTACTGTGCATCAGAGAATTCATACTGGGGAGAAGCTTTATGACTGTAAGGAGTGTGGGAAGGCTTTCCCCTATAACTCATTTCTTACTCAAAATCAAAAATTTCATACTAGAGAGAAAACGAAACCTTTTGAATGTAGTGAATGTGGAAAGGCCTTCAGGATTAAGAAACAACTTATAGTGCACCAGAGAGTTCACACTGGAGAGAAACCTTATGAATGTAGTGGGTGTGGGAAGGCCTTCAGCATCAAGACACAACTGATAGTGTACCAGAGAGTTCACACTGGAGAGCAGCCTTATGAATGTAGTGAGTGTGGGAAAGCCTCCAACAGTAAGGCAGAGCTTACTGCGCATCAGAGAGTTCACACTGGAGAGAAACCGTATGAATGCAGTGAGTGTGGAAAGACCTTTAGAATTAAGACACAACTTACAGTGCATCAGAGAGTTCACACTGGAGAGAAACCTTATGAATGTAGTGAATGTGGAAAGGCCTTCAGGATTAAGACACAGCTCACACTGCATCAGAGAGTTCACACTGGAGAGAAACCCCATGAATGTAGGGAATGTGGAAGGGCTTTCAGGAGTAAGGAGCGTCTTATAGTGCATCAGAGAATTCATACTGGAGAGAAACCTTATGAATGTGGTGAATGTAAAAAGACCTTTAGGAGTAAGGAAAGACTTAAAGTACATCAGAGAGTTCATACTGCAGAGATGCTTTATGAATGTAAGCAGTGTGGGAAGACTTTCACATTCAACTCACAGCTTATTCAACATCAAAAAATTCATACTGGAGAAAAACCTTATAGATGTAGGGAATGTGGAAAGGCCTTCATAAGAAAGGCACATCTTAATGTGCATGAGCAAATTCATATTGGTAAGTTTCTTTTTGAATGTAAGGAGTGTGGGAAGGGTTTCCCATACAACTCAAGTCTTATTCGACATCAAATAATTCATACTGGAGAGAAACCTTATGAATGCACTGTTTGTGGGAAGGCCTTCAGGACAACAGCAAGTCATACTGAGCATCAGAGAATTCATACTGGAGAGAAACCTTATCAATGTAGTGCATGTGGGAAGGCCTTCAGGACGAAAGCAGGTCATACTGAGCATGAGAGAATTCATACTGGAGATCAACCTTGCAAATGTAACGAATGTGGGAAGACCTTCACGCGTAACTCAAAACTTAAACTGCATGAGAGAATTCATACTGCAGAGAAACCTCATGCATGTGGTGAATGTGGAAAGGCCTTTAAGAGTAAAACACAATTTACTGTGCATCAGAAAATTCATATTGGAGACATTCTTTTTGAATGTAAGGAGTGTGGGAAGGCTTTCCTGTATAAGTCAGAACTTATTCGACATCAAAGAGTTCATACTGGAGAGAAACCTTATGAATGTGGTCAATGTCAGAAGGCTTTCCAGACAATGGCATCTCTTACTGTGCATCAGAAAATTCATTTTGGAGACATTGTTTATGAATGTAAAGAATGTGGGAAGGCTTTCCTCTACAGCTCAGATCTTACTCGACATAAAAAAATTCATACTAGAGAGAAACGTTATGAATGTAGTGAATGTGGAGGGCCTTCAGGATTAAGTCAGAGCTTACTGTGCATCAGAGAATTCATACTGGAGAGAACCTTTATGATTGTAAGGAGTGTGGGAAGGCTTTCCTTACAACTCTCAGCTTATTCGACATCAAAAAATTCATACTCGAGAAAAACCTTATGAATGTAGGGAATGTGGAAAGGCCTTCACAAGAAAGGCACATCTTAATGTGCATCAGCGAATTCATATTGGTAATTTCCTTTTTGAATGTAAGGAGTGTGGAAAGGCTTTCCCACAGAACTCAAATCTTATTCGACATCAAATAATTCATAATGGAGAGAAACCTTATCAATGCAGTCTTTGTGGGAAGGCCTTCAGGACAAAAGCACATCATACTGACCATCAGAGAATTCATACTGGAGAGAAACCTTATCGATGTAGTGAATGTGGAAAGGCCTTTGGGACAAAAGCAGGTCATACTGGGCATCAGAGAATTCATACTGGATATCAACCTTGCAAATGTAGTGAATGTGGGAAGACCTTCATGCGTAACTCGAAACTTACAGTGCATGAGAGAATTCATACTGGAGAGAAACCCTATGCATGTAGTGAATGTGGAAAGGCCTTTAAGAGTAAAACAGAATTTTGTGCATCAGAAAATTCATATTGGAGACATTCTTTTTGAATGTAAGGAGTGTGGGAAGGCTTTCCTGTATAAATCAGAACTTATTCGGCATCAAGAGTTCATACTGGAGAAAAACCTTATGAATGTGATCAATGTCAGAAGGCTTTCCAGAGAAAGGCGTCTCTTACTGTGCATCAGAAAATTCATTCTTGAGACATTCTTATGAATGTAGAGTGTGGGAAGGCTTTTCTCTACACCTCAGATTTTATTCGACACAAATTCATGCTGCAGAGAAGGCTAATGAAGGTAATGAATATGGGAAGTTTCAGAGTGAACATATAGCTTTCTCAACACCAAAAAATTCATTCAGGAGAGAAGCCATAAATGTGTAATGCATGTAGGAAGTCCTTTATACTGAGGATACTACTTTATGTGCATCAGAGAATTTATAAGATTCCTCATGAATGTAAGGAGTCTGGGAAGTCCATTGTAACTCAGATCTTATTAAACATCAAAAATTGATGCTGCAAAAACCCCTATGTATATAGTGAATGTGAGAAGGCTTTTGGAAAGAAGTTACACCTTACTGTGCATCAGAGAATTCAAATTGGAGAAATTCTCTATGAATGTGAGTAGTGTAGGAAGCCCTTCTCTCAGAAGTCAGATGTTACTCAACTTCACATCATACCTTATGAATGTAATGTACACGGAAAGGCCTTCCACTTGAGTGTAGGTCTTACTCAATATCAGAGCATTCATACTAGAGGAACATGTTATGAACGCAGTGAATGTGAGAAGACCTTCAGGCTGAAGACACAACTTGCTCAACATCAAAGACTTAATTCTAGAGGGAAACCTTTTGAATTTGGGAAAGCCTTTAGACGAAGGACCTACTTGATGTCCATCAGAGAATTCATGCTGGAGTGATTCTTCATGAATGTAAGAAGTGTGGGAAGATTCCCCCAGCTGACTAGACTGTGATTCTGAGTCCCTAGATGTAGTTCAGAGAATCTTTACTTAGGCTGCACGGGAGAAGAAGGTATCCCTCCCTCTGTAGAGACCTCTAAAGGGGCAAAGATTTAGTGTTATCCTCCCACGGGCCTTGAGGGATGGAGAGGTTATGCTGGCTGTGTCACAGGTTACTGAGTGGACAATGGTATTGGGAGAGCCTTAGTACTAACTTTGACCCCTGGGAATGTGGTGTGGAAGATGCTTGGGGATGACCTCTTGGCCATCAGATGAGCCTGCGCCTAATGAGTGATGAATAGTGGTTGACGGTGCTTCAGGAATAAATCATAATCTGATTAATCATAATGAACTTTGTTCCTCATTTTGCTGGTATACCTCCTTCTGTTCATGTTAATTTGAGTAGGCAGCGTGGACCATAAAGACTTGGAATCAAGAACTACACCACCCACATCAGTACATATTCTCCCACTATGATGATCCCAAATGAGGTCAAAGAAAAATTTAATGAACATCTGGGGACGCTCATCATCCATAGCTGAAAGAGGACAAGTTCATCATTCTGGGTGACTTAAGTGCAAATATAGGCACAGACTCCCAGACAGAGAAGAGAGTCCTTGGGAGAAATGGAGTCAAAAGCAGCAACAGTCACCTACTGCTGAAGACGTGTGCACCTCATGACAACACGGTCTTCCATTTACCTCAGTGCAAAAAGACTTCATGAATTCACACTCACAGAAACATTGGCATTTAACAAGCTATGTCATTTTAAGGAGAAGAGGCAGACAGGATGTGAGAGTAATGAAAGGGATGTGCGGTGCAGAGTGCGAGACTAAATACAGATTTATCCTCTCCGTGCTAAATATTCACATTCCACAAATGTGCCGGTACCAAGGAAACACAACTAACAGATGAGTTATTGTCAGCAGATTAGATCTCTTCTCTGAGCAGGGACAGTTCATTGCTAACTTGGAGAGAAAATTGAGCCAACACAGGATTAGCAACAGTGGAGCAGAAAAAGAATGGGCAGGGGGCAGCTAGGTGGCACAATGCATAGAGCTCTGGCCTTCGAGTCAAGAGCACCTGAGTTCAAATCCAGCCTCACACACTTGACACTTACTAGCTATGTGACCGTAGGTAAGTCACTTAATCCCCAATTTCCTCACCTCCCCCCCAAAAAAAAGAGTGGGCAGCTTACAGATATTTGGTGTACAGTACTGCATTTACTCATCTAGCCCAGAATGTTCACAAGCATCACACTTGGTTTGACAAAAGTGGAGTGGAATTCAGAAGCTGCTAAAAGAAAAATTAGTACTCCACGGTTTACCAGCAGGTTTGCCATCCATCTCTAAGAAGGTGGCATTTACCTTCATCAGAAGTAAAGCATAAGCAAAGTTAGAAAGATGCAAGATTCTTGGCTCAGTCAGAAGGCAGATGAAATTCAGTTTGATGCTGATAGTAACAATCCAAAGTGCTTCTGTGATGTTCTGAAGGCTATTTATGGGCCAAGACCTATGGTGCATTTCAACTACTCAGTGCTGATGGAGCCACATTGATTAGTGTTAAGGATGTGATCTTGGTGAGACAGGCTGAACAATTCCATAGTATTCTCAGTAGACCACCATCAATCAATGATGAAGCCACTGACCATTTACCTCACGTTGAAGTCAGTCTCTGTAGCCAAGTTTCCAACTGAAGAAGTGGCTTTGAATGTTGTTAGGCTCCTGTTGTGTGGCAAAGTGCCTGGTGTTTATTTTATTTCAGCTGAGATTTACGCGGCAAGGTGTCCAGTGCCCATACAAAACCTAACTCAATTTTTTGGTATTACATGACAAGAGGAGGTAATTCCTCAGGGGTTCAAGGATGCCTCCATCGTCCATCTCTATACAGGGAAAAGAAATAGACTGTCCTATGAAAATCACATAG